GGTGTTCTTGATGTGTTGATTGCAAAGGAAGTATGTATTGTTTGAATCCCCTTTTTTTCCTAAGCCAGCATATGAAATGATGAACTTAATTGTGGTATTTTCAAATATATATGGTATTATACTTTGTTTTCATTAGTCCTCCCCTTCTGCCCTCAACTATTTTATTTAAACAATGTATTATGCAAAACAAAAGACCAACCAGATATTAAAACCGTATGCCTATTTTTCTGTAAGATTTTAGTAGTTTTTCACCTCATGCCTGTTGGGAGCTTTTGAGAATGGAAAAGTAGTGTACTTTGATGTTCAAGGAAAAAGGCCTTTTCGCCAAAAGAGCAATATATCTTTTTTAAAAATTTTTAATTATACTTTATTTACTTTGTATACCCCCTTTAGTTCCCTCCCTCCTCCCCTCCCAACCCCTCCCTTCCTCCCCCTTCTCCACACACTCCCCTCCCCAAGTCCACTGGTAGGGGAGGGTTTCTTTTTCTTCCTTCTGATCCTAGTCTGTTAGGTCTCATCAGGAGGCAATATATCTTAATATCTTATTTTTTAATGATTTTGTTTAAATAACAAATTTGGAACTGATTTTTACTTAAACTTATAAAGGGATTCTTTTGTAGCATTAAAAAATATTTTGATCTGTAGTTCCCAAATGAACAGTTAAGAAGTTGTTTATCTATTAGACTTTGGTGCTGAGCAACCTGTCACCTTTTTTGGTCGTTTTTGGTCAAATTAAACCCCTAAACCTAAGAGGATAGTATGAATTGCTGGTATCTGGTTAAAAGATTACTAACTTGATTATGTTCATAGTTCTCAATTAGTTTAGGCATAAAATTATATAGTTCTTTGTTGCATTTCTTTGGAATTGTGCATTTTATAATTCTTTTATCCTTTTGACTTAGATCCTCCAGGTCCTATTGACAACACTAAAATTGCAGTCACTAAATGTGGCAACGTCATGCTCAAGCAAGGTAAGCTTATTTCATAAACTCATACAATTTATTTGTTTTCTGAGACAGGGTATCATATACTCCAGGCTGGCCTTGAATGTAGCTGAGAATAGCTTTACCTTGTGACTTTCCCTCCCAAGTGCTGGGATTATAAGCATGTACCATCACGCTTTAATTAATATTGAAACTTTTATGTTAATGATTTCTCACTGATAAAAATATAACGAGCCATTTTGTACCTTTTTTTTAATTAACATAGCTCAGGAATGTTCAAGCTTACATTAAAACAAAGGATAGAGAGCAGTGTGTATTTCTCATTTGTGGGAAGATTTTAGGGTTGTTGGAAGGATCTTGGAAAACAGATCTCTAGAAATTTAGAAACAGACTACATATTATAACTTACTGCACACAAGATTATAATCTGAAGGTTTCAGAAGTTCTAATCATCCCTAGAGGGTTTACACTGTTGGGTATGCTGTAAAAGCTAGGCAATATAAAGGTTCATGTTTGTAAACATCATTCTTTCTGCATACACACAATTTTAGGAGCAGACTCTGGTCAAATTTCAGAAGAAACATGGAATTTCCTGCAGTCTATATATGGTGGAGGGCCAGAAGTTATCCTCCGACCTCCAGTTGTCCATGTTGACCCTGATGCACTTCAAGCAGAGGAAAAGATTGAAGTAGAAACCCGCTCTTTGTAGTTTGAGGGTCCAGAGCTTTAATGAGAACTCATCCTCACTTGATGCACACATTCAAAGCATTCCTTAACGCATGTTTATTTTCTTGATTTTTGTCTTTTATCACATGTATTCCTTTGTACTGGGCATTATGGAAGGGTATGTTAAATGTGTAATATAAGTTGGTATATTTAATGCTAAACCTATTATCTTTCAGTGTACTGTTTTGAAAGAAAAGGGAGAGTTGGTTCTCTACAGGCAGATCTGGCATACCCTGTCTCGCTGTAAATACTTCGAGTTTGAAAACTTTTTCATTATCCCAAGTCGTCATAACTGGCCAATCTTTTCAGTTCTCAAAAACCTAATTTAATTGTATACTTTGACATGGCTGAAGGAGCCTATTTTAAATTGAGTAGTGGTCAGAACATTTGTTAATTTCCTAAAGCTCAGGAAACACTAGGGTGTTATTTCCTTTGCACTGCAGCGTATAAAATTGCATATTAAAATTTACAAAATGTCTTTTTTTAATGTAACAGGGTGTATTTAGTTTGAGTGGAATTTGTTACCAGATGTTAGTAAATTATTGCCGCTTATAATGTAAAATGTTAAACTTTAGTTCTATAGACCTGAATGGTATTCATTAATGTCAGTAACTAAAAACTATAGTTTTAGGCCACTTTTTACTTTGAGAGCATGAAGTTTGGAATGTGTCAAACGAGATTGTTGATAAAGCTGAAACCACCTGCAAAATGATTTTTTTTTAACAAAATCCATAAAGTCTTTTTTGAATAATAAGAGTATGTACTGCTGTTTGCTTGATTATGTGATGTCAAAAGCTTAACTATATTCCAAGGACAAACACGCAGGTGACACTGAGGGTGTGGAACAGCATTCATGGTGGCTTCGCAATGTTGTTAAAACTAATTCAATAAAAATAACTCTAAAATGTGTAAACTGAATGTTGTTTATTTGATAGACTTTAAAAGCAAAGGGCATAAAGTTTGTTAATATTGATGCCTTTCATTATATCTTATTTAAAGCATAAAGCTAAGAAGTTCTTTGCTGTAGTGAAGTTCATTAAACCATTTCAGGGTGAGCAGCATGGTGTGCTGGCATCTGTATCCCAGCACCCAGCAGGCTCAGGCTGAAGGAATCCGAAATGAGGCCACTGTGGGCAATGAAACAAGACTGTCTCAGAACAGCAGCAAACCAGGACTCAGTGCTTTGGGGGTCAATTGAGTATTTTTTTTTTTCTTTCACCCTCTCTCTTTCAGTTCAGGCTGGCCTCAAACTTGCTTCGTAGTCTGTAATTCCAGCACTGTGAGGCAGAGGCAGGAGATGAAGACTTCCAGGCTGTGTGTAGAATGAGTTGTAGATCAGCCTGGACTATAGAAAAAGTTCTTGTCGAAAACAAGCTCCAAATGGCAATGCCTGTTTGGCCAACAGTTAGCAAGGTCACAAGTTAGGTTTCTCTGGTACTGGATGTTTAAATACTCTATTAGGGCAGCGACTTACAAAGGAGTGCTCTTCGTATAGCTCACTTAGAAGAGAGGACAGGCTGAATTAAGTCTGTATGGAGTGCCTTGTCTAGTCTATCCAGTTATGCAAATAGAATGCTCCTTCAGGAAGGATGCAAGTTAGGATAAATGACAGGACCTTTATCATTACAATGATCAGTTCTTTTGGAAACAGATGACACAGTGTGACAATGACATGAGTGTGTGTGTGTGTGTTCATGTATGGGGGGGGGGTAGGGGAATGGTGCTGACAACTGGTGACTGGCTCCCGACAATGCTCCCAGCAGCAGATAAGTTCTGACCATCCCCAACAGTAACTAGGCAGGTTAGCATCCTGTCTGGCACATAAGCTTATTATGGGCAGATTTTGGTATGGAAACCAAATATCTGTGCCTATTGCAAGCCCAATACTGAGTTCAATAAGACATGAAGGGAAAGGCAATGGAGAGCAGTGTCTTCTTTTAAAAACAAGCATTACAGGTGTGATTATCGGTGTAACAATATAAGCCTTTATTTTGGAGTAGATGTTATTTGGAGTTGAATTGGAAACTAAAACAGGAGACCACTTCAATGATTTAATAACTTACCAGTAACAGAAACCACACATATCCATTTGCTTGGAAAAACAAAAAAAAAAAACTGCTCTAGTTAAGGAAAACAAAGGCACCAAAGCCCCAGGTAAGACACCAGTGGACTTGGTATTTTTGGAACACCATCTCACAGGCAGAGGTTTATGTCACCGATTCCACAGCTCAAACCTAAAGGAAGTACTTCTCTCCATCTCTGCAGACGAGCATTACTTTGCTCTATTCCCAATACAGTGTATTTGAAGGCAGGTGTTATGGATAGAATTCAGAGCTTTGGGCAGGATAGCACATGCTGAGCTGCATAAATATATCCCAGCTCCACTAAGTTTTTTTGTTTGTTGTTTCCTCATTTATTTATTCATTTTACATCCTTGTAGCCCCTTCCCCTCCCAGTCCCACCCTCTTTCACTCCCCCTCCCCCCCCAAAAGCGGAGCTCCCTTTCCCCAGCTCATCAAGTTGCATCAGGACTGAACATGTCCTCTTCCCCTGTGGCCTGGCAAGACAGTCCCGCCAGCGGTAAGTGATGTAAAAGCTGGCAAGTGAGTCACTGTCCGATGCAGTCCCCACTTCCCTTACCTAGGGCCCCCAGTAACTATTTTTTTCCTACGGGTTGAGCCATACTGGGTGCTGGCCTCAATTGTGGGCAAAGGGCAAGGAGGAAAGTTGAAGATGCTCGGCCTTTAAAGAGTCTCTGTGGTGAGAACACTTACAAATAGTGGGTAGAAGTGTTGTTTAAAGGTACAGAGAGTAAAGGCAGTGGAGGTGTGCTCTTCTGAACCTCAGAGTGCTCTGGTCATCCCTCAGACGGGGACTTCTGACAGGAGACCTGAAAACGCTGGAGCCGTGGTCCAGGTGGACCTCGGGAGAAGTGCTCTGCCCTAGGGAGGGGCAGGAGCAAAGGCTGGAGGGGTGGGCGCCCCGAGCGAAGGGCTGGCGAGGCAGGCCGGAGCGTCTGTGCGAAAGCCTCGGAGTGCTGGGGCCGGCGTCGGGTCCCGGGGCCAGCCCAGGTCACTCCGAGCGGTGGGCCGCCCCGTGCCGTCCGGCTCGCCCGCGGGGCCGGGAGCGCTGCACCGGCCGCGGCCACCAGCAGGAGGCGCGGTGAGCGCCCGGCGCCTTGGAGCCGAGGAAGGAGGGGACCGGAAGCAGCCGCCGCTGCTGCGGGAAGTGGAGGAGCGGGAGGCGGGGACCCACCTGGAAGCGCCGCGGCGCCGCTGTGGAGCTTCCTGCGGCGGAGGGCGCTCGAGCCAGTGTGGCGGCGGGGGCCGACGGCGGGCGGCGCCTCCCCGAGTGGCCCGCAGTGGCCGGCCCCGCGCGAGAGGTGAGCGGGGTCCCGGGGCGCGTGGCGGGGCCCGCGCGGGGGCGGGAGGGAAGCGCGCGAAGGGAGGTGCGCGGGGCCGGAGCCCCTCGGACCGAGCCCCGGGAGGGGGTGGCCGAGGCGGCGGCGGCGGCGCCCCCACGTGGGCCGGGCGCGCGCGTGCGCGGCTGAGGGGGCGGGGAGGCCTGCGGAGACGCCGGGCGCGCGCTCGGCGGCCCACGTGATGGCCACGTGACCCGCCGCCAGCCCGGCCGAGGTCGAGCGCCGCTCTGGGTGCCGTCCCGCGGCCGGCGGAGGGCTCGGCGTGGCTTCCGGCCCTTCTCCCGCAGGCTACTCGGAGGAGGCGTGCGGGGCGGGGAGGCCTTGCCTCTCCTCTTCGTCCACGGCTCCCCAGTGCGAGAACGAAAGCATACTTTCCAAGTTCCGAAGTAGTGGTTATCTCCCCCTCGCCGCCATGTTGCTTGCGGAGCACGCCCGCGAGATGCCAGTGGGTCCGTATCGCGAGATGTCGCGATTCTCGCGGGACCTCGTTGGCAGAGCGGTTGTGTTGGATGGCGGAGCCCCGGGTTCCGGGGGCCTGGGACCTGCAACTCTTTTCCAGCAGGCAAGTTGTCAGGGAGGGGCCGGGGCGCGTGCCCGAGCGCCGGGAGCCCTTCTGCGCGCGCCTCCCTGTCGAGGGCAGCGGAGCGGACGGGCCGTCGGGTGCCGCGCTCCTCCCGCCCCCAGGCGCCCGCCACCTGCCGAAAGCTGCCCCGCCGGCCGCTGCCCCCCTCCAGCCCCGCGGCCAGCACGCCCCGGCCGCCGCCGCCCCCCTCTGCCGGGGCTCCAGACGGTTTTGCCCAGTTACCCTTTTCTAAAACATTCCGGACTTACTTTGGTGTCGCCTAGCAGAACGCCAAGCATCTCTTCTTGTGTCTGGCCATCATTTATTCACTCTCTTGGCCATTGACAAGTTCCTCATCACCCTGGCTGTTGACAGTTACTTTTGGCAGTGTTTGGGAGTCCCCACATCCCTGACAGTATCTGAGGTCAGAATAAAGTCCTTATCATGTACGTGTTTATTAACGCACATCAGTAGCGATTGGGGTTTTTAGGTTCCCATTTTGATATTCTGGAGTGGTGGCTTTAGGTTGCATAAAATAAAAGTGGATTGTTTTAACTATAATCCTGCTCCGTAAGTTTGAGGTCATGTTTTCATAAGTGAATTTCAAAAGTGAATCACTTTTCTGCACTTATAATAGCCACTCATAAATGAGTTTTTATTTGTTTTTATTCAGAAGTGTGGAAGCTGCACAGTCAGGGAACCAGATCATATATGTACATACGTGTGTGTGTGTGTGTGTGTGTGTGTGTGTGTGTGTGTGTATTTTTTTTTTTTTTGAGATGGCCTCATTCTGTATCCCAGGATAGTCCAGAGCTGATGAGGTAGTCCAAAATGTTGAAGCAGTCCTTCCCTCAGCTTGCCTAGTGATGAGATTAATGGCATTTGCCATCACACTCAGTACATACCGTTCTAAAATTTTTATTATTTACTTGTGTGTCTTTGTGTCTTGGTTATTATATGCCAACATGTGCACAGCTGCCAGAAGAGGATATCTTATCCCTAGGAGCTGGTATTAACAGGAGTTTCTAAGCTGCTCAAAGTAGATGCAGGGATCTCAACTTTGGACCTCAAGATAGAGCAGCTAGCACTCTTAACCACTAAACTATCTGTCTCTTAAACTCCAGGTGTAGTTACTACACTTACCGAAAGCTAGAGTAAATGTTCCTTGTTGTATTTTACAATTTCCCTCACTTTTCTGCCCTGTACCAGGTCATTTTGTAGTCCATGCTTTCTCTTTAGGAAGGGGGACTAAATTGGATTGCTGCTGTTACAATAAACTACCACAAACATTTGCAAACAGCAAATTATCTGCTAAATAACTTATTTAGTGTGAAATCTGTTGTTAGGACTCCTGTTCATACTTTCTTACATGTAGATAACTTGGTGGTATGTGCTGAAAATATCAACACTAATAGAGCTCCCTCCCCCCACCGCCAGTGGAAATGTTCTAGGGTGCTTTGCACACGAAGTCCTTGTTAAAAGAGATCTAAGGAAACTTGTTTTATATTTTTTGTATAGTATTATTTTAATTATTACATATTCTAAACTAAAAACATGTCTATGCAATGTTTTTCAGCAGTTTTAAGTTTGCCAGCTCATAGTAATAGTTTTTTTTTAAATTTAAAAAGGTGTTTATTTTATGTGTATGTGCCTCAGTATGTATCTGTATGTGTGCTTGAAAGTGTGTGCACTCTTCAGCGCACACGTATGCGTATGTACGCATGGGAGTTTGCACACCAGGTGTGTAGAGGCGGCCTTAAAGGTCAGACAGGGGTGTTAAAAAGGATCCTCTCGGGAGCATTAAGTGTACTTAGCTGTTGAGCTATCTCTTCCAACCCTAATCAACTCACTGGAATGATAGGTCGCATAGTTAATTCAAGCATCTGCATATATTAGAAGTGCAAGTCGTTTTGTCATTACTTTTCTGAAAAAACATAGTGTAATAGAAAGTTGTGTTTAGAAAATTTTTAAACCTAGCTAGTGTGGCTCAGGTTGTACTGGAACTTACCCTCTTGTCCCAGCTGCTGGAATTCTGAGACAGCAGGCATTCACTACTCTTGTATTTACCAGACGGGTCACAATAAAAAGCCATTGTACATGACTCAAGCAGTGTTCTTGTTTGTTTTTGAATCAGTCTAGTGCTGGTGGGAAGATTAAGGAACAGACTTGTTGAGAGTTATAATATGGAAAAGATGAAAGGGGTATAGGTTGACATGAGATGAACTGTGAAAGTTGTGGAGAAAGAGAGGATGTAGACAGGTAGGAGACAGAAGGAACTCAAGAGTAGGCAAGCCCTGATCTTGATTGACTCGTTAGGGGAGAGTCCTAGAGACAGGCTCTTAATAGGTGTGGGGGTCAATCATTTATTTTGGGACTGGTTCTCACTGTGTAGCCCTGAGTAGCTTGTCATTTATGTTGAGACTGTACTGGCTTTCAACTGACAGTATTTCCACTTCTGCCTTTAAAGTGTTATGAGTGCAGGATGTACCACTATTCCCAGCTGGTAAATGTTGCTTAGACAGTTCTACAAGTCACCTTCAAAATCACACTAAGTATCATTTGTAATAAAGGCCAGCAGATGAAGTAGATATTTAATTAAAAATTGTGGAGTATTTAGGTAAACTATGGAGCTGGACATAGTGGATCATGCTTGTACATCCGGCACTCAAGAGGATGAGGAAGGAGGACCACTATGAGTTTGAGACCAGCTTGAACTGTTACACAGTAAGTTCAAGGCCATTCAGGGTGACAGTGAAATGAATACCTGTTTCATAAATATCTGGAGGAAAAAGAAAAGGCAGTAATGCATTTGGAAGTCCCACTGTGCCATTGCTTTTGCAAAGCTATCCACTTAAGTTTATAGCATAAGAATGATTGGTCTATTGTGTGGGTTCTAGAGTAACAAATATCCTGCAGACACAGTGGTACATGACTCTAATCTGAGCATTTGGGGCTCAGAGAGAGAGGGGAAGGGGTGAATCTCTGCCTTTGAGGCAAGCCTGGTCTACAGAGTGAGTTCCAGGACCATGTGTGCGCTTGCGTTCTATTTATTTTATTGTATTGGTGTTTTTTTTTTTTTTTTTTTTTTATGTCTCTACATTCCTTCCTAACAAGGTAGCAGAGAAAGAAGGTTAGTAGGAAGAGAGGCCACAGTTATAGTTCTCTTTAGCTACTTCCTACTGGTTGGAGTCCTTGGGTTCCTTGGGGCAAGTCCAGTCTTTCTTTCAGGTATCTCTATGTCAGATTGCATCAACAGCAACCAGGTGCAGTAGTGGGGAGCACCAGCATTCTCTTTCAGAGCGATTCCCCCATCTCCCTTTTCTGGGCTCTGGCATTTATTTCCTCTTAGAGTCCCCAGAATTAAACTATCTGCAGCTGACAAAGATCATGCCCTTCTCAGAGCCTGCACTTGGCAAATAGTCTGCTACTATGGACAGTCTAAAGCAGCTCCATATCCCTGGGATTAAAATGTTTATATAACATAACAGTTTTTAAAGACACCAGAACTTCCACTATACAGGGCCACACGGGGAAACCATTCCTCAAAAAAAAAAAAAAAAAAACAACGAAAAAAGAACTTCTGTTATACAAACTGTTTTTGGTGGTGAACTTTGTAAATTACCAATCTTTTACAGGTAATTTATTTTGAGGTTGAGAAAAATTCATGGAAGAAAAGCATTTTGCATGGAACCATTGTTCATGCAGATTATAGTAAAGTACACAACCAGAAATATCAATGAAAATGTGTTGCAGTGCTTTAAAAAGAAAATTAATTTCAAGTAAAAGTTCAGTTTGGCATTAAACCGTGATTAACAGTTGATTGTTATGATAGTTTTGGCAGTATTTAGTATAATTGCCATACATTTTTGTGTATGATTTTCTGTAATTAGTACTCTGGTAACCACTGTCATACTAGAAAAAAGTATGTGTGTGCATCAGTCTACACTGTAAAGTCCCAAAGATGTGTGGCTTTCGAAACTGGCTTTCTAGACTTGGCATTTTTGTTTGATGCTGTATTTCTTAACTTCCTTTTGTTTTCTACACAAGTAGCCATTCTCTGTGTAGTATTGTATAATAATTTCTGTCCTGTCAGATAAGTGATTTCTGTAACTTTCCCTGAGGACAGTATTGTTGCATGACAGGTCAAGCTAGTCATTTATTTCCCCTCTTCCCCCTTTTTGCAGCACTGGGAATTGAATTTGGGATCTCAAGCGTGCTAGGTAAGCATTATACTAGCTGGCTGTAATCCCAGTTTTTTAGCCCCTTCCCTCCCCTAGTGTTTTGAGGCAGGGCCTCCACTGGTGACTGGCCTGGAGCTGTTTTCCTCCACTGTTAAAGTGATGGTGTGTCCCACTATGTCTTATGTGTTTTATTTTATTTTGGCTTTTTGAGACAGGGT